CAAACGTTAGTTTAAAATTTAAATGCTATTAGCATTTAAATAAATAACATTTAGACATAAAGTAGCAATTAAATCAATGCCGTTTAACATACCCACATAGCGTTATGCAAACTTTATTGAAAGAAATCGATATTAAACAAAATTTTTTTTTTAAATTTGTGATAAAGCAAAAAGGATGAAAAATTTTAAAATTGCGCATTTAACATTGATTAAATCAAAATCAATCAAATAAAAATAACTTTTTAACGAAACTTTACGAAAATAAACAAGAACGCGAAATCGACCTCCTCCCTAAACCGGTATTATTAGGAAATTAAAAGAAATCAAAGAAAAGTATGACAGCTGACAAGTTTCTGTTTTCAAATTAGGCCTAAAAATTAAATAACTGGCTAAATTAAAAAAATAAGCAGTATCTTGGTGATTTTACTAATGTTCTGCTTAGTTAGTTTGTGTGTGTACTTTGCCATTGTGTATGGCAAATTGTACAGCACCCCTAAGCGGTCACAAGGAGAGGTAATGTTTAATATAATTTCTTTAAGGCTTCGTCAATAGGTACCATAACATAAAATCTTTTTTTCACTCGACATTTTTGACATTTCGTCTAAAGTGTCAAACCATAAAAAATTTCAACGTGTATCGTGTCTGGCTCTAAAGTTCCCATTATACTGGCAACATTACTTTCCTGGATATCTGCTGAATGTACCACCACTCAACGAACAAGGGCAGTATTTTCCTGGACGAACTCTTTCACAAGAAGTTCTACTGCTGCTAAATAATCTTGGATGGTACCATCTCAAGTGATCAAGACTTTTCACTAGATTGATTAGGACTTTATTATAACATTTAGTCCTAGCTTAAGTGCTGAGTGGCGTCTATGAGTAAGCGGAAATGTTGACAACTCACAAGTAATACGTAATCAATGAGTAATCGTTGATTTGCACTCGATTTTAATATTTCAAACGCAGGACGAACCTTCCGTTTGCCAATTTTATATATGGTTTTGAAAGAAAACTTATTTCAAAGTTTTTTTTTACATCTTGGAAATTACAAAAAAAAAAATTACTAAATAATTATAAACATGATTTTATGAGGCAATTAAAACACTATTATTACTTTGTCAATTTTCCAAAACGCAGCCGTAACTTAACGAAAATCTAAAATGTCCAAATATAACAATAACCATGCATACTATTCTCACAACTAACAAAATATATATTATAGCAAAATATAACTAATGAGATATAATATAAATAATATAATTTAAAACAAAATATAAATATATATACTCAAAAATCAGTTTTCCTATGATATTGAAGTCATAGGCCCATGCCGTGATAGGGATTCGAACCGCTTGGCCTCTCAATTAAGAAGCAATCGTCCGTCTACTAGTTAACAACTAATACTAATAACTAGTATAACAACAGTTTTCACGTGTGTACTTGTATGAATAAATATACCAAATTTCCTGTAGTGTTAGTCGGTTAACCGTCTGAAAAAAAAGGAATACTTTGAATAAGTGCCAGTTCTATGTTATGTATGACGTCATAAGAAAAACGCGTACGTCTGTCGTCCTCTTTTTTGCCGAGTAACCTATATGAACCTGGATGAGATTGGCACGGGATCGTGGGGAGTGGCACAGAAGCTTGGAGGCCTATACCCAACAGTGGATGAAGTCAGGCTGTATATGATGATGATGATGAACCTATATGAAGGTTGTTTGTTTGTTACAGTGTACCGCCACAGGTAACGGGTTCTATGAATGGCCACTCAACGTCTCACAACGTGGACACGCGCAAACGCCTCACGCCTATCCCCGAAATCAACATCACTGGCAACCATACGCCGTATAAGGTAAGAACACGAGTCATTGTTAACTAGCACTTGTTTACCAAATTCGAACTCAATAAGGTGATACTGTCCCCACTACCAGGCCCAGTTGAGCCTGGTCAGTTTGAAGTAATAGTCACTATGACACCGACCCCAGGAAAGATGGCCGCTCCGTAGTTAAGCTAGCAGAGTATTCGATACTGGACAATCACTACACTACCCGATTCTATCTACATCAGCTTAGAGCGTAGTTTCCCAAGGTGGTCCCTACCACCACTCAGTGGGCGCTGAAGAGTCCTAGGTAGGGGGCTCGGAAGCATTAGAAAAAAATTTCCTGAATGATCTAAATAAACTACACTCTTACATATGTATATTTTTTTCCCTTGTAATTTTATGTGTTAATAGAAAAAAATACGTGTTTTTTTTTATCTTCCCTAAGTGGGCAGTGAGCCAAAAAGTCAGGGAGCTTATGGCTTAGAGTAATTCAATTCTAGACTTGGATATTAAAAAGGCGGATATTCATTGATAAACGTGTCGAGGCTTATCGGTGATTTAGTAGAGGCGAAGCAGCGAGACCTTGAACACCGCCATAAAATTGCCTGCTATTACGGGATAACACGCAGGGTGTGATTGAATTGTATGAAAAAATCCCACTGTCCCTTTTCCATCAACGGGAGACTAGACGTAGGCTGAAGCTTCACCCCTTTTGTTATGGATATACTCAAGATTCTTGCAGCTTTATTCCCTGAACGCTATAACTTGTACTAGTTAGAGACGTGCATGTCACTTCAGGTCAAATGGTGGTAAAATGTGCATTTATTTTACCCATAAATAAAATATCTCGACTTTCACCTGTAATCGACTATTGTAGTAAAGTTACACTCTCATGAAGAATGACAATATCCATTATGACGGCTTATCCATTAGTTACTTTCTAAAGTTTGTGGTAACTAAAAATCACTCGACATCAGTGTACGACGGTGTATTGGTTATATTTCATAACTAAACCAAGCGTTTCTTCCCGCAGGTTCAAAAAGCGCTAGTAGAGAACACGATGGTGCCGTGCATAAACGCGAAGCCGTACCAGTACACAGAGCTGCTGATGACCCTGCCGGACCTGGCCAGCCACTTTTTCCCGCGTGTCTCGCTGTCCACTTGCCGTGCTATGCTCGACGCCCTCGCGATCACGCTGTATAGACCTAACTCGTAAGTCCCATTGCATTGTTGTATCGCTGCTTTTCAAGAGTAATGGGCCGAATCAAATTGACCCATCTCTTACTTATTACCACAATTTTGTTCAGAATGTGCTTAGGGACGAATCGTACACTAAATTCATTTAGTAGCGGTGGAACTTATTGTGAAAGATCTCGTCCAGGGAGTTTCTATTTCTACTTGTACCGCCAAGCAGTAATGTAAGCATTACTGCGTTCCGGTATGGAAGGGTAAGGGTGCTGGTGAAATTACAGGCACACGGGACTTGTCAACTTGTGCCTCAAGGTGACAGGCGCAGTGCACCTCAGATCTTTGCCATTTAAAGCTCCCAGGGGCGCTGCAACTGTTATGGATAGGCATATAGTTTACCACCGGGCACACGACTTGTTGGTCCCATGACGCTATATTATTTTAAAAAAATTGTGCGCGTCTTTTTAAACCATTTTGACAGGGCATTTATAGTACATAGCTATTGAACTTTTTTCGTCCGACCCGCAGAACCCAACTACAAGTGCTGCGCAACTCGGGCAAGTGCAAGTCGGCGGCGGCGGGCGAGAACGGGCTCGCGCTGGTGCAGATCCGCGACGTGATGCAGCACATGCCGCAGTTCAAGTACATGCTGCGCTCCACCAGCGACGACACGCCGCCGGCGGCGCACGCGCCGCGCCCCGCGCACTCGGCGCACGCGGCGCACGCGGCGCACTCGGCGCACGCGCACCAGGCGCAGCCGGCCAAGCGCGCGCGCGCCAACTAACGAGTTGCTGTTAGTATAAGTGAATGTCAACGATTTGTGACGTTTACCCTGCATGCGTGAGTGGTACTGATTTTAAGGGCTTCCATCGAAATAGATGGTGTGGTTTTATAAATACTTATAGGCGAGAAGTGTTCTTAAAGCGTGGTGATTTGTAGTCGAAACTATAGACGAGATGTCGCGAACAAATTGTAAAAAACCTAGAAGCTACGTTAGGACGAGTCAATTTCCAATGTTGTACAAATTGTATGATACTTCGTTGTAAATCAGCAGATCTAATTTAGTATTTATCACCTATTTAATAAAGACTGAGAATTTTATTTTTAATTATTTCTCGTACCAACAGAGTAAACGTTTTGTTTGGGTTTTTTGTATGAGATGTGGTTTTCGCGCGGTTGGGAGATTTTTGTATGTCCAATTTACTCTTGTACACATGTAAATACAAGTTCTGCATTTATGCAGTGTTTCTAGCAATACTATTTAGATACAATATAAAATAATCCTTAATATAACTAAGTATTATTTTGTAGTTAATGTTTAGGTATTGTTTGAATCGTGCGGAGGAGACTGGTAACGAAATTGTTCATCACAATTATTTTAAAATTGTAGAGATTCTTAAATTGTCGATATTACTGACAGAATCGATTTAAATCGGTACTTATGAATAACCTCAGTCGAGTTACAAATTAATTTCGTATCAAAATATGATATTAATTACGAATTCAACTTATTGTAAGGGGGCCATTGTGTTGTTTTCATATAATATGCTTTCACAAAACACAATAATTGTTTAGAAACATGGAAATCGGTTACATTCTTTAGCTGTGACAAAGACATCCAGTGAAAATTGTTTAAACAAATATGTTAGTTTCCTAATTTTAGGAAATGCGAAAGCTAGTTCCTATTTGTAGCTATACTGACTCAGGCGAGATTTCATTTATATGTATATTAAAAATCAATAATCATTTCATAAGTTCCGTTAAAGGATAACAGAATAGACACTAACAATTTCTCAATGTGTATTAGTACAGATTGTAAGTCCTAATTGTTAATCCCTGGAAGAATGTTAGTACCTGTATCTGTCGTTGATCTACTAAAGGATTCTGTAACGACTTGCAAACAATCAGTTTCTGAACGTTGATAAAAATATTCTATTCAATCTGGGTTCGCGAGTTTCAAAATGGCCACCATAAAGATAACGATTTACCGCGAAGTTAATTGAAGAAAAATTACAATCTTGCCCTTTAGCAACATTTTACTACTGTTCTATTGGGTTAGGATACACAGTCGAGTTTCACTTATTCGCGGTCGGTATCTCTACCACCACGATCGAGCCCTTCGGCGAAAATATTCTTTGATCAGTTTTTAATCTGAATACAGTTTTGATCCATTCTGTTATCCTTATAAGATGGAGAGCCAATATACCTGTCTAGATCTGTCTAGACCTAGATCTCGTGTAAGCACTTAAAATGAAATCTCTTCCTTCTCACACCTGGTTCTGGTGTTAAGAGTGGTACATCCACTGCCTTTACGCAAAAATAGATCTTTTATATCTTTTAATAACAGTAATGCAGAGCAGTGTAAGTTATGCTAAATTATTTATGACGTAGAGTAAGTACATGACTTAATTTGAGAAAGGTCTAGAAACCTTTTTCAAGTTGAGCCCATAACCTATTTGGTAATTCACTTTACGCAATAGCTCTTCAAGTGTTTGTGGAGTCATTGATTCTGTATTACGAAATAAAAAAATAATTCTTTTTATTACATATTTTTGTGTTTAATTTTATTAACATCTCATAGTTTATACCCAACATACGACTTTTGATTTAGTTTAATATACAAAATTGACGATCTCGGTGACCCAACGGTTTGGTCTGGACGCTGGATGACCGGTTTCGGAACCAAGAGTGGAACCAACGGTCTGAAAAGGATTCTCGGTAGGACCAATTTGAGAGACGATCTCTTCTAGAGGTGTTCTGGGTATTGTCTAGACATGAACGCCGAAAATAGAACAACCAATGGCGGCGCGCCGACGATAAGGTGTTGGCGGCGGCGGCGCGAGCGCGACCATGAATCGAATTTCTATAACGGTGTTTGTTTTTACAAAAACTGTTACACAAATGCTTTTTGAAAGGAAAAAATAAAATAACGTATTTTCTATAGTAATCAAATTTTTATCAGTTCAATCAGGCACTCCGTTAATAAGCCTGCCGATCGTACGCTCGCGCTCCCGTATTGTGCACACAACTGATCGAACTGATTTTAATTCAAATCGGAACCGGTCCGATCGGGTAGCTATATTATACTGGAGGCTTATAATAGAAAAAAAGAAAAAGGCGCGGAAAAGATGCAGTTTCCGACGAACGACTAACGAACGATGAAACTGGAAACTGGAAAATGTAGTGTCCTGGATTAAATCCTTTACTCCCACTAGCTCTGTGGACAAAACTACTTGTATTTTTTCCCATTTGTTCTGTGGATTTTTGATTTGTCATTTGGGACTTAGGGTCGTATTCTAGAACTCTACTCAATGCTCATCAGGATTGCACTGGAAATACGACCCTAATGGCAGGGATTTGAGTATGATTTCGAGTGCTTTAAACCATACTCAAATCCTGACTTGAGCATTGAGTAAAGTTCTGGAATACGACCATTAGTCTCAGTAGTTCCTCGAACTGATACCTATACTCATAGCAAGCATTCCTTAGTTTGAGACCAATAGGCAAGCAAGCAGGGTGTAGGGAGTAGAAGTCTCTTAACTGTACTATTCATAGTACAGGCTGATGATAAAATTGATGGTTCTAAGCGCCGTTTATCTCTTATATAGACTATTTGTTTTTTCCATCCTCGTAAGGTTTATAAGCAGGAAGAGAAGTTAAAGTTCGTGAAGGGATCACTGTAGTGTCATTTTTGCGATGAAATATTCAAATCACGATCGTTTCCACGTGCTCCTACTGGGTGTATATACTCGATGTACTGGATACTCCCACTGGTAGGAGCATGAGATTAAGTTTAGTATGTCGTTTAGTACATTAAGCTTGCACGTCGGATCGTTCTTATCGTAAGAGGTATTATTGTCTCTAAATCTTATGGCTCAATTTATATTGCGGCGAAACGGAATGGAAGTGTGTAGTCGCAGCGTGCAAGCCATCCTGCAATGTGTTCTGCGAGACTTCATACGTGGGGCCGTACGCAGCACAAACCACTATGATACGCAACATAGTGTGGTAGTAGTCTCTTGCCTGCGCTGCGGTCCGGCATGCAGGTAGTGAATGGGTCGTTTAACGTGCTGTTGACCTTATGTTGCTGTACAACAATTTCATTTGATCTGCTAACCACTTAGAGGATTGAAAAGCTAACCACCAACCGGGCAAATTGTAACAATGCTCGTTACTTTTACTAGAATATGTGTATAGAACACATACTGTAATGTTTAATTAATGTTGTAACTTCCTTTATTTTTTTTCTATCCCCTATGGTTTCAACCCATAAAATGTCCTGCTGCTGGAAATGGATAATGAAATTAAAAGTTATTTTTAAATCACCGACAGCTTGTTTGGCAGTATGAAAGCGCAGTCATAGCCACACTTGATGTAAAAAAAAAAGAAAAAGAAAAAATTCCTGAAACAAACAATCATGGAGATCGAAGATTTTTATTACAAATCGTCTAATCAGTGAAATAACTAATTAAAACAGTGAAATCTGAGATATTTTATGAAAAATTTGTGGACTAGAAAATTAATTTCAGTGCCAAGGAAATGGGAGCTGTCGGCGAACGTTTATTTGGTCATTTCATACTTTGTTAATTTTTCTTATATTTTCATTACATATTTTCATCGAATCTTTGGCTATTGTAGAATTAAAAATAACATTTTTGTATTAGCCATTCCAATTTTTTAACATCCTAGGTGCTTAGGCTTTTCTTTGTCATAAACTTAGTTTTAAGTTAGATTTGTACACTTGATTACATTTTTATTTTCACAATGAACATCGAAGTGTGTAGGGATACTTCAGACGCTGTGGCGCTATATTTGCCTCAGCGTTTGTATTTAAAGCCATTTGCAAAGCTAAACATTTCTGTGCAGCTCCCTTCTCACAAGGTTCATGGCAAATCCATTTCCAATTGGGAATTAATGGAGAAGCTACGCAAAATGATCCAACCTGATGGCTTCTCTATACTGAAAGTGGCAAAACATAGTACGGAAGTGGTTAGGTTTGACGCGGAACTGGAGCAGCGGGATAGGCTAGAACGGGTGATCGCGAGACTGGAAGACCGTATCATACAGTTAAATGACTACCCTGACCCAATGAAAGTAAAAGTGACTGAAGCAAAGTTAGATTTCCCGAGTCGACATTCGTGGGATTCCTTTTTCCGCGATGCGACAGACATGGATGAAATGAAACCAGGCGAGAGACCAGACACAGTGCACATAACCAACTTACCTGTCCATTGGTTTCGTCATGAAAGAGACCATGACGAAAATGCACCTCCTTCCGAGAGCATAGTCAAAAAAATTTTTGAAAAGTACGGCAATATACGTCAAATTGATGTCCCTGCAGCTGACCCATTTCGTATGCAAATGAAGTCTGCAATGAGAGGGGTATCAATTCCACCACAAGATCAAGCACTGTACTTTGAAGCTTACATTCAATTTAGTGAATATGTCGGCTTTGTAAGATGCATGGATTCCCTACGAGGTAAAAAGCTGTTGCGTAAAAATGAGGATGTTGCCCAGTGGTGTGGCATTAAAGTGGACTTTGATAAGACGAAGCATATGACTGATGCAGCTGTGAAGAGACGATCTATTGTTAGAGAGAGGCTATTGGCGCGGCAGAGGGCCAAAGATGATGAAGAGCGTCAAGAAAAAGAAAAACAGGCCAAGAGGGAAGCAAGGGAAAGGTATGTTTAGCATTATACTTCACAACTATCATGGTATTTTTGCTTTACAAATTATACCTAAACAAGTTATTAGTTCATAACCATTACATAAGAGATTAAGAATGCCTCATATGCCTTATTAATTCCATTGTTGAAGCTGTTTGCAAGACTTAAATTTACAATCCATCTGTCGTGTGAATGATTAATTCTCTTTACAGACAAAAAGAGACAGTTAAAAAAATCGTTTATCATTATTTAAGAGAGAAGTATGAGCACGGCGAGCGTGAGAAGTTGGAGAAGATGAGAGAACGAGAAGAAAGAAGAAAAAAGAAGCAACTTGCCAAACTAATGGAGAGAGAAGATGTGGATCTGAATAGCAAGGTGATGGAGGAGCAGAGGAAGCTTCTTAAAGCACAGAAGAAGCTTCAAGCTATACGACTTATTGAGGAATTGTTTAAGAGAATTGAGGTAATTCTTAGTAGTAAATTCACCAAAATGCATTATGCTGTGTCACTCTGGACAATCGACTTTGTGGTTGGTTTTGTGATTTCCTAGTGTGATAGAAGAGCCACATTAGGTGGCTATGAATACGAGTTACGCCAGGAGTTGCGAGGACAAATTTGTTCTAGAGTAAAAGTATGTGCTAGAACAAACATATTTAAGTTTTGAAAATGTGCCTATTGTCGCAGTTACGGCCCGAACTTCAACGCAATGGGCAAAAACCGGAACGTTATTACGCGGCCGGCGAGCGATCAGCGCGTGCGCGCGTCGTGGAGCGTTACAAGCGGCAGCAGGAACACGCGCTCGAGGCCCAAAGGGCGCAGCTCAAGAACGCTCTCGAAGGTAAACTGCAGGAGTTTTATGCATTCACTGACACCATACCAGAGGACAAAAAGTACAGAGAATGGACTCCCCGCCCCTCCCTAAATGTAGATAACACGCCTCGCACATTGACTGAACGGCTACAAGGCTGTCGGCGAGCCGTTTTCGCGCTAAGACGGCTTTGATATTTGAATATAGTTTTCATTTCTCATTACGAAACTTGTACGTTAATATAAATAACATAATTATACGTTACTATTTATAATGGTGAATTGTGCTGTGTACGGCTGTTTATCATCATCTAAACGGGATAAAGAGAGGAGTTTCTTATGTCTGAGACTCATTCTGTTATTGTTTTCTTCATTTATTTAGTGCAGAGTAATATATAATACAGAGGTTATGGTAACTTCGTGATCTAGTAGACAAAGGTTCTCGGATTTTCTATTTGTATGGCCGATAAATATTACGTAGTAATTATATCTAATTATTAACTAGGTAATGATAAACTTGGACACGCAATTTCAAATACAATTACAAATACAATTAAAAAGTACCTGTCAAAATACAACATTTTAAGTGCTTTTTAAAAAATAGTATGTATATTATACTATTTTTTAACCCTTTCGCGGACAGTACTCAGTACGCGGCTAATTTAACTTTTAACATTTCAAAACGGT